CCACAGTCTGGCTGCTCATCTGGGCAGCCCCAGGAGCTGGGTTCTGGTTTGGAGATGGCAGTGTAAGGCCATTCCCCTGGAAAGACAAGAGCAGGGACTCCCAGGCAGCTTAGGCAACCAGAGGCCGGACACGGGCAGAACCCAAAGCTAGAAGGCCAGAGGACAAAGAAACGTAGAAACGTGCTCCAGACCCAGGAGGAGCCCAGGCCTGGGACAGCCATCCTTGAGCACCGGGCCTCCGCAGGCACCTGGCGGAACGGACCTTGGGGACTGGACCTCAAATCACAGCACCTCTGATGGAGAGACCTGTAGATGTGAACATCGGTTGCAAACTCAACTGGCTCACAGGGCAACAGGTGTGCTGGGGCCTCCTTGGAGATGCAGGTGGGCCTCAGGCACAGACTTGGGGAACTGAAGGGGCCTAGAGCCCTTTCTCCACCACCTGCTCTGCCCGAGTGCTCCCCAACTCCCAGGTCCCCATAAAGGAAAACTCAGATGTGCCACCACTGCAGGTGGCACTGGAGATTGGCCCACCCCGGGGTTGACATGGTCAGAGGTCATATTCTGGAAGCCAAGTAGAGCTGAGCAGGTAATCCAACAGATGCCCGTACCCCAGACACGTCTCTATCATTTCCATCACTCGACAGATATCCATTGACACACTGGGCCAGATCCTGGGAATCCCGATAAGGGAAACAAGTCCCTGTCGTCATAAAGTTCATATTCATTTGAGAGATAGTCAAATGGATTCCAGTGAGCTGTTAGATGCTGTGGGGGTTAGGCACCTGTCATGGGAAAATGTGGGCAGGGGACGGAGGTGCCGTTCTCCAGTGGCTGTCAGGTGGGGTGCTGAGTGCAGTCACTGGAGGTGGGGGAAGGATGGACCCATGGGGGGTAGGAGGCCTCGCAAATTGGAGCATCAGTTGAGGTGGCAGGGTAGGTTGCACAGGCTCTCCCAGGCCAACCATAAGGGCCTTAGACCTTATTGTGAGTGAAACAGGAAGCCAACAGAGGGCTTTGATCCCAGCGACGTGGCCAGTGAGCACTTTCTTTAAGGACTAGGCAGTATATATTTATTAAGCTTTGTTCCCACAGACTGTCCCCACCCAACTTTTCTGGGAATAGAGAAAAAGCAGCCATGGGCAATATGTGACGTGTTCCAAAAAACTTTCTTTGTGGAAACAGGAACTTGAATTGCGTATGGTTCTTACCTGCCACTGGGTACATGTCTGTTGCCCTGCCCCAACCCCCACTTAAAAATGTAAAAACCATTCTTATTTTATGGGCTAGATAGAAACTCCCAGCGGGGTGGGTTTGGCCTTAGTTTGTCTTTATACTTTAAATCGTCGGCCTGGCTGGGGCTTGGAGAACAGGCTGAAGTTGGGGAGCTCTGGCGGCGAGTTCTGGTGTCACTGCCTGGATAACAGGCACTCAGATGTGTGGGCAAATGTTTTAAGTGTGGGCTCTGCTAGACAAGGGGAGGACAAGCCACTCTTCTTCAACTACCTTGGCAGATTTTGTTCTAGAAAACATTATTTGGAAGTGAAAAAGGGAACAGGTGGCTGGAGGCAGAGAACCAGTTACAAGGCTGTCAGGAAATGGCCTGGCTTCTCTGTGGGGCAGGAGGGTGTCTGGCAGGTGGCCCTCAGAACCTCCACCTTGTACTTTCTGTGGAATTGTGAGCCTCTCAAGGAAACTGGGTAGGGTAGTGACAACCCATCTGTCGTCTTGAGAACCGTGTTCGAAGACTGCCCGAGCAGTCAGGAGTCTGTGAATGATGGGGCACTTGACCTGCGACCGCCCACAGAGCACCTCAGCATGGAAGTGAATCTACATCTTCCTGGTTCTCAGTGCAGGAGCTTGAACCATGTGCTGAAAGCTTGATGGCTGATTTTCACCGTGCTTTAGTCAGAACCCCTTTCCTGGCTGGACCCTGGGCCCGCTGTACCAGCCCCTCACACTTGTCAGCACCAGTCTTGGCACAGTGGAAGCCCAGATGGACAGAACTGGTCTAGTGGGACAGGGGACGGGGGTGAGGCTGGGAAACAGGTGACGATGCAGGGCTGTGGGGAAGGTGTGCGCACCCCGGCTGAGGACCCGAGGAGCACCCCGCAGCAGTGAGGCTGGCCAGACGCACTGCCAGCCCCCCAGCCAACAGTTCATCAGGGACCACCAGGCTGGCGTCTCCTAGCCAACTCCTTCCACCTGAAAATTTGTGATGAACTGTTTGCTGGTTTTTGGCACAGGGATGAGGGACGCTGGAGGAGTCAGCCAACTTGGACTTCAGCTTAGACCCAGCACTAGGGGTTGAACCACTGAGCTCCACCCCAGCCCTTCCTAAGACAAGGTTGCTAAGTTACCACGCCCGACCTCGAACTTTTGATCCTCCCGCCTCAGCCTCCCAAGCTGCTGGAGCCACCGGTATACATGGGCCTGCACCAGGCATCAGACTTGAAATCTCACACATCCATCCAGAGTGGTGCTCAGAGACAGCTGGGACCCAGACGAAGCCCATCAGAACCTACTTGTTAAAAACATATTTCCCAGTTTCTGTGGCCTTCATGTTTTATCATCTTAAGGTCTTAAATGATTTAATTTGTGTGTGGCTGATCTATTGTTTCCTTTGTGATTTACTCCACACTCTGGGGTTTCAAGTCTTTTCCCCAGCTATCTTAATGCCACGGCACCATTTATATCACCATTTATTTCCCAGCAATTTGTTTATTTTAATAATTGTTGATTTATCACTAATATATTAATTTTAATTATTTTTGCCAGGAATGAGAAAATCAACTGAAAATTTAGAAAATCAGATCTGAAGCCTGGTGTGGTGGTGCACACCTATAATCCTAGCAGCACCTCAGAAGGCTGGGGGCAAGAGGATTGCAAACTTGAGGCCAGACTCAGCCTCAGCAACTCAGTGAGGCCCTAAGCAATTTAGCAGGACCCTGACTCAAAAAATAAGAAGGGCTGGAGATGTGGTTCAGTGGTAAAGTGCCCCTGGGTTAAATCTCTGGTACCTCAAAAAACAAAATAAAAACTCAATGTAATAAAGATGACTCACAACTTCCACCTACAACTTGTAGTAACGTTTCTGGTGTTTAAAATTGTTCACACAGATCCTTAAAAGGGTCTGTCCAAACCACCTGAGTGAAGCAGACTGGCTTCTGCCCTTTTTTTTTTTTTTTTTTGCTGGGGGTCAGGGCATCGGGGATTGAACCCAGGGACACTCAACCACTGAGCCACACCCCCAGCCCTATTTTGTATTTTATTTAGAAACTGAGTCTCACTGAGTGGCTTAGGGCCTCGAGTTTGCTGAGGCTGGCTTTGAACTCTGATCCTCCTGCCTCAGTCCCCTAAGCTGCTGGGATGACGGGTGTGCGCCACTGCTCCTGTCCTGGCTCACTCAGGTTCCTAAGAGGTCTAACAGGCACCACCTTCAGTGCCCATCTTGTTGCTGAGCAGACAAGCCAACTGACGTCACTGAAGGCCACGTGGTTTCAAGGGTGAGCTATGACAACTGTTTAAACACAAATTTAACTTTTTCTTCGTGACATCAGTGACATAGCTCATGGTGGGCCACTTCAAATACCCAGAAGCAGTTGGTGGTGGACACCCAGCACCCAGAAATAATATACTTTAACTCAGAGAGACAGATTTCTACAACAAAACCTGGAAGCCACTTCATTTAACAATGTCTTCTTTTCATTATTTCCTATGTGGTAATCTTTTAAGTGACTGTAAATAACCACCCAACATTACAGCGCGTGAACCTAACACATAACGTAAACACATTCCTTCTGCTCTTCACCTTGCAATTCCTAAGCATATGGCCCAGTGGTTCCAGGGAGACAGAATTCCCACAGGTGAAAGTCTTGGGTCAAAGGGTAGAAGAGGGGCTGGGGTGGTGGCTCAGTGCTCTCCTAGCATGTGCGAGGCCCTGGGCTCCAGCCTTAGCACCATATAAAGATAAATAAATAAAGGTATTGTGTCCATCTACAACTAAAAAATATTAAAAAAAAAAAAAGGTAAGAACACCTCAGACTTTGGGTACGCGGGGTGGACTCCCTCCAGGAGGGTGCGGCCACCCTGCGCACAACCCCCTGGCAGTGGGGTGAAGCCCACCGCCCTGGCGTTCTCTGGAGGGCAGGTGCTGCAGTTTGGAACAAAGAGCACGGTCCAGCCTGGGCACCAAGTATCTCCTTCAAAAGGAAGGGACATGACTCATGTCCACAACCCAGTGATAGTTTCAGTACATTTTAATGTGGCCACATAAAGTGAAAGGGTCATTTAGAGTCAACAGATTCTTAAGACCCAACAAAAAGTTTTTCTGGACGTAGGACACACATCAAGGGAAGTAACCTTTAAAAAATGGAAGTTCTCCCCAGACAAGGTCTGGCTGGCTGTCTGGGGACAACATGATAGCCTTTTAGGTCTTCTGGCAAAGAATCAAGGCGGCCAAGCCAGAAAACAAGTCAGTTATAAACAGACCACCATGCGCCTGCCCCCTGACCGTGGGTCTGCAGACAGCGTCTGCCAACTTCTGCTCCCTGCAGCCCCGGGCTGCCGTCCTGATCACAGACAAGACATCTTTAGGATAAGGCACCTGAGGCGGCGGCTTTGTGAGGACTGTCTGTCACATTTATAGTAGCTGTAGCCTCGCCAGGGATCAGCTCATAGTGGTGACAACGGAGGGTGCACACCACAGGCTGGCTGTGTGGCCAGATAGGGGCACTGCTCTCATCTGACCATACGGAATCCTCCTCCTTATTCCAAGATAGGAAAGGGGCCACACTGGAGACAGGGTGCTGCGGGAATCTGGAGAAGCCACCCACTCTTGAAGGGCCCTCTTGAGCTCAGCTGCTCCCCCACCCCCAGGACTCACCTCAGAGAGTGGAGAGTCACCAGGCTGGTCCCAAGAGCCAGAGAAGCTGTGCTGGGCAGAGAGGCACAGGCTGCCTCAGAGACGGCTGAGGTGCGAAAGAAACACGGGACACCAATTTGTAATCAATGACTTTTATCTTTGAAAATGGAAGCAAGTGTTTTGACAGAACACTATGGTGCTCTATAAGAGCCGATCTAGGAGTAATTCACTGTCCTCCTCTGGGATGTCATGGCATTTTTTAAAAAAAGAAGAAGACGACAAAACAGGGAAAATAATCCACAATGCTTCAGGCACTCCTTGGGCCTGGATGGGCATCCATTCATTAAATAAGCAGAAGCTACAAACTAAGGTCAGGGTGACGGTCCCTTGCCCTCCCTCTTCTCTTCGAATCACCTTTCCTATAGGGTTCCACCAACCACAAAAATTCTTTACTTAATTTGATATCAGAACCTTAAAACATTTCTGAATCTTAGAAATGAAGGTCCTTTAGCAGATTACATTGATAAAAAAAAAAAAAACAATGTAAGTTTGACTTATGTCCTTGTGATGACTGTTTTCTTTACATCTCGTTATCCACTTCTATATTAAAAATACATACGTACATACACACAAAACTCAATATTCAGATGCCCTGAAATTGTGGAGACAGCAACCCCAATATTGTTGGTTAAGAACATGGTACCTTTTCTGCTGGGACAGTACCAAGTGGGGCCAGGCCTTCCAACTGGCTGCCACCATACTCTGCCTCATCCTGGCTCCCTGGCCACACGGCTTCCAGTCAGCCCCGTACCCACCCCAGTGCACGCACACGAGAGGGAGGTCTCCTCACGGCCCCCGTGCACTCCACGGCTCATTCAGGCACACTCAGCCCTTCCAGAACAGAGGCTCGTCAAGTCTGGTTTTGCAAACATGCAATTGAGATCATGGAAGTGCAGCAAAGTTCCAGCTAGCCTAAGAACGAACAGGTGACTAGCACTGGTCTCTGACTCACTCCGGGTCCAGGAAGCCTCTGCAGCCCAACACAGCTGTGAGCTGGAGAACTGGTTTGTGTGCGGGGGCGAAGAGGCATGTCCATGCATGTGAAAGCTACGGCCTGGCCTGCACTCCCTCTTCTGCCTCGTTCTAGGCCATTCTCCTCAGTCTCAACACTCAACAGCATCTTCTGGCCTCATTTTGCTGAATGTGATTAGGGCTAAGGGCAGGAAGATGGGCAGGACTGCTGGGCCCCGAGGGACATGCAGCAGACAGAGGAGGGAGGGCAGGAGTTCTGTGGGTGTAAGGAGAGCTGCTCCTTCTCCAACACTGCTCAGGACAGTGGCAGGCCACCAGGGCTGCTCGCCTCCAAGCTCCCTGCCCAGCACGTCGCAAGAGCCAGGTAAGCTGCTGAGACAGGCAAGAGGGGACACTCAACAACATGCGCACGCTCTGGTCCGAGTGCCCCTGTCAAGTATGGACCGCAGCCTGAGCAGTGAGGTGTGGAGTGATGAATGTGACAGAGCCTATGTGTGACAAACTGCAGGGACACGTGCTAGTTTGGTTAGATTATAATCATCTGAAGCACAGAATCAAGAAGCAAAATTCCATTCTGGTACAACCACCCAATTTCTAGAAAAGAGAAAGGAAAGAAAGGAAGAGATACGATGTACACTTTTTTGGATCAGAAGACTCAACAGAATGAGAGGGTAGTGAGAAGGTCCACATGATTCTTCAAGTCTTCCTTCCGCAGTCATTAAGATGACCAGGCTTGTGCTGCCAGTGGCTACTGCTCTGATTGTTCTCAGATGAATGTTTATACAAAATAATATCTTCATCTAGTTTATAAACATACACAGTGCTGTCCCTTTCAAATTAAGGAAAAAAAATCACACACAAATACTGCAAAGTAGCAAAATATAAAGAAAAAAAGCTACTTTTGGTTTTGGCAACATTAAAAAAAGAAAGAAATATAAAAAGCAATGTGGCATTGGTCCCTATTCATTTAAAAAAAAAGTACTTGGGCATGACACTGAATTGGAATTGGTTTGTTTTCTAAAATTTAGAATATCTGGGATTTTAAAAGTAGCACTTTCGTCTTGAAGAGTTCAACAAGTCACATAACACTTAAAACATCAAAAAAAGCTTTCTGATAAAAAGCTCAGCTTTTTTTTTTCTTTTCTCCTTTTTTTTTTTTTTTTGCAAATTTGGGAGTCGCTCGAGTTCTTACTGGAATGTGGCCTATCGCTGCTGGTTGACAACTCTGAAATGGAATGTCTCCCAATGGCAGTGCCTCCCCCTCCACCCTCCCTCAGACCACACCAACAACCAGCTACCAAAGCCCAAGTTCTCACTCCCAGGTTCTGGAGGGTGGGAGGGACCTTCAGGCTGCTATCTTCGCCATCTGCTGTTCTAACTTGGAAATACGCTCATCTTGATTGCAGATTGTGTCTTTTATAGATTTGATCTCTTTTAAAATTTCATCCAACTTGGCTTCGTTTTGCTGAGAAAATAAAAAAGGGGGCAGTGATTAGAAAGCAGTAAACAAACTTCAACACGATTCGGACTATAGGACTTAAAATGTAATTTTCTATTTGGCAAATGGCAAACCAAAGTCACCAAATTGGAAAAAGAAGTCACAACCTGGAACATGTGGGCCTTATGAGAACATAACTGCCGCTGTTCGGTCCCTCTGAGACCCCAAAGCACTGCCTGTGCACTTACTCAAAGACTCTGTCAGGTCACACACTGTAGGATAGGACTGTAAGGCTGCCCAAATCCCAACCTCCCCACTGGGCGAGGGGTGATTCCTACCAAAAGGCTGCTGAGCCTCTCCACCCGCTAGGCAGGTCCTGGGAGTGGAATTCCTGGGCCTCTGTTAGCTTTTCTAAAGAGGACTGAGCCTCCCCCACTCAGAGCTGATCCAGAAACTCTACAGCCACCAAAGGCTGGGTACTAGCTCCTTGTCAAGGACCAAAATGTCAGCTCCTCCAAGGCACTGTACCTCCTCGTTCCTCCACCTTCTCAGTAACCAAACTCCCCCCACCCCCACCCCCCGGCCCCCAGCCCACGCACTCCCTGGATCTTCTCCTCCCAGGACCTGATTCCCGGCAGCGTCAGTATTCTGTGGCCACAGCAGGTCTTCAATGGCAGGCTGGGTGCCCACCTCTGCCACGGCTTTGCCAAGATCGTCTTGTGGTAGCCCACACACTGCCAGATCCTGCCTTCACCACGCCCCTCGACAGCACCCCAACACTGCCACCACTGCCTGCTTCCAGGAACCTTCTCTTCCTGGCTCCTGGGACCCTGCCCTCCCATGTCGTTTCATTTCTACCCAAATCAGAGGAGGGTTTGGGCAAAGAGAAAAACTCTCAAACATCCTATTCACTCTCAGAGATGGTGGTAGACTGATATCTATTCCAGGCATTGTTTATGATAATATAATAAAAATATAATAACCAAATAATTAATAATATAATAACCAGAGCTAAAGGAGCCAAGGGTGACCATAACTCATCAAGTCACGGGCCCCAGGACTTTCTTAGGCCCAGTGCATGTTATGAGTCACCGAAAGCTCCTGGGTGTCCACAGCCGGAACACTATTCAGCAATGCCCTGCATAACAGAGGACTTTGCAGGGGACAAGGCACGCGCAGATCAAGCACAGCCTCAAGTTGCTGTGCTCCTCACCACACTAGTCGTGTCTGTGGTTTTCTTGGGGACATTGATCAGGTCACACTTCTTGTTTGCAGTGGGCTTGCTGTCCAGAATGTTCTTCTTGACCACTTTGAGATCCCTGTTTTTGCCTGGAATGTAGCCGTGCTTCAAGGAGATGAGGATTGGGTCAGCGTTCTTCCCTTCAAACCACTCTTCTGCCTCCAGCGCAGCCTCGGGGCCTGCCGTGTCTGGGTACAGGTCATCTTGGAAAAGGTCAGACTGCAAAACACATTTGGGGGAACGCTTCAGTAAGGAAGGAACCAGTTCTGGGTCTGGGATTTAAAACAAACAAACATGGACTGCCTAGAAAGCTGGGCACTCACCTTCCTGGGAACAGTCATGATAATGGGCTCACACTTTCTCTCATGCAGCTTGAAGAATCTTCAAAGGAAAAATAAAGACAAGGTTCCATAAAGTGAAATATGACTGAATAACAGGATCAAGAACTGTTAACTACAATGCTGGGGGATATGGGAGATGAACGCTTCTTTACCCCTCACCTCTGATCCACCCTGGCAGTAGGTACTTAAGCGGTCCCACTTTCCCACTTCACAGATGAGCTCGGTGTATCTCTGCCAGAAAATGGCAGACTGGAGACAAGGACCATGAGTAGAGATCTGTGGATTACTGTGACAGTCAAACTGCAAATACCTGGGGCAGAAGGACTGTGGTGGAAATAGTAGCAACACTGGGACTGATTCACTTGTGAAAAAGTTACCATGTAGCAGACAGGTGGGGACCCCCCTAATGTGAAGCTGTTGCTACACCCTGTGTGCCAGGTCTTCTGCCAGCTTGAGCAGTTGAACATTTGAAGTATAAATATGACTTTCAAAAAGAAAAAAGAAGCAATCCTAGGAAGTAGATTTTGATTTGGGGTAGATTTTGTCTTTTTGGGTTTTTTTGGTGGAGGGCAACAGGTACTTGCAATCCTCCTGACTTGGCTCCCGAGTTGCTGGAATTTCAGCTGTGCACCACAACACCTAATGAAATTTAGGTATTCAAGCAAACCCCACATCAAGGAAAATTTGAAATTATCCAAAACGTGGAAAGCAAATTGCATTATCCTATGGAGGAGCAAAAAATATCCTCTAATTGAAGGGGAAAAGGGATAGAATTTTCTTTTGCATCTCACAATAAACAAAACCAAAAATTATAATAAAAGTGATTAGAGAAGCCAATTTCTTCCCAGCCAGGAAGGGAAATAACCGAGAGTTCTCGCCAAAGTTCTTGGCAAGAGAGGGAGCCACAGTGAACTCTGGCAGAGGGGCACATGCTGGGCAGCACTCAGATGAAACAAGAGCCGAGTGTGGCTTTGCCAGTCAAGGTGTTCCCCAAACCACATTTTAAAAACCTGCCGCGTCAAACTTGCCTATTCACTATTTCAATAGGGTTACAGATAAACCAAAAGCCATTTTAAAGAAAGATTTAGTGAAAACTACGCAGCAGCAGCAGCAGCAGCAGCAGCGCAGTGAAGGAAGCCTGCGGCCCTGACTTCCACCTGGGCCAGGGCGAAGCAGCCTCTCCAGGAGCGCGGCCACCCCAGCCCTGGCTCCTCCTCCATAAAACAGGCATAAAAACACCCTCTTCCTGGGTTGTGGGGAGAAGCAGAAGAGGTCACCCACGTGTGTTTAGTTCAGGGTCTGACACGTAATCAAGGCTCAGCACAGATAGACAGGAGGGTCCCGAACAGCTGTGCTCAAAGTTTTTCTTGAATGTTTAGATGATGGTAAAATAAATGTGCTCCTAAATAATTGGGTGTAATCTTAAGTTCAGATTCAATCCTTTTAAACCACATTTGGGTTAGTCTGGTCAAACTGCAATTCTGGATTATCTGGGACAGCTATCTTTCATTGTCCCAGCTATTTAAAAAAATAATGATTAATATAAATTAAGGGCTGGAGCTATAATTCAGTTTATATTCATATAAAGTTTATAAAAATTCTTTTTCTATTATTTTTATTTTTTTAAATATTTATTTTTCAGTTGGACACAATATCTTCATTTTATTTATTTATGTTTATGTGGTGCTAAGGATCAAAATCAGGGCCTCAAATGTGCTAGGCAAGTGATCTATCGCTGAGCCCCAGCCCCAGCCCTCCTATTATTTTTAAAGATTTAAGTATCAATTCTTAATCATGTGGCCAGAGGAGCAAACATTTTTGGTTGCTGCTATTTTGTTTGTTTTGGGTGCTGGGGTTTGCACCCATACAAACTTGTCTGTATAAACTTCATGTTACACTAATGCATGATATGATTGATAGTGTGATGCTATTCTGTTGTTTAAAGTGGTCACTGGCCACTGGGTGTCTGTTGAGTATCTCCTGTTGACTACTGTGAGAAAAATTGTGCCCGTAGGAGGCCCACTAGTGTTATAGGATATAAACTTCAAATTCAAGACAAGTGTAGATAAGTAAAAGTCATACAACACAGCTGAACTTCCTAAATCAAACTAGCCTCACAAATCATCGCAGAACCCTGCATTCTCTAGTTTAGGACCAGAAGGATCCACAACCCAGGATGGAGCTCAGTCCTATCCCCCTGAGAGCAGAGAGCCACCCCTTTTCCATTCCAGGGCCAGGTTCTCACCTGCCCACCACCCAGGGGACCATGGCCACAGCCTCAGCTTGGAGTCAGAGAGGAAGGTGTCACTATTTCACTAAGTGTACGCTACACCTCAGCTCTGCCACTGGACTGCTAAGCTCCCAGTTGTATGAGTAGGACATAAGACACGGCTCCACCCACATGCAGGGGCAGGGAGCCTCGGGCACACAGAAGGCCGTGGAACTGTGTGGCTCTGATGCTATCCCAACAGCACGAACAACTGCAATACTTTACGATATCAATTTGTTACCTGGCAATTTCACATTTGTTAACGTCGAGTCCTCTCTTGGGCATGTAACCCATGCCTCTCTGAGGCTCCTTGCTGCTGAATGTGTTGAGGTAGTGGACATATGGGGATTCATCCGTGATCTCAAAGTAGCGAATACTGCTGTCTCCCTACAAAAAAATCAGAGATGAGTTTGTCTTTAACAGTATCTGAAACAGCGGGTTTGGGAGGGTGTCTCTCTCCTATGCGACCCAGCACTCATGGGGACTGGGCCTCAGAGGCTGACCTTTTTTCACTTTCATAAAGAGGCTGACCTGAAGTATGTAAGGTTCTTTTCCTCAGAGATTGAGCCCTCATTACCGACAGATCACTACCATGCCCTTTAAAAGATCTCCTCCATATTTCTGCCCAACTGCCTTGCAGTTCAACATCAAAAGTCAAACAAAAGAGTGAATTGCTGAGCATGCAGTCACTGATTATAGGATCTGCTCCCTGATCCCGCATAGCACTGTTCACAGGTCTGTCAGCTCAACATCAGACAATCCGACAACAGCAAAAAGTGAGATTGTTCTAATTAAGAAACAACAGTTTTCATGAGCATTCGTTCTTTTTTTTTTTTTTTTTTTGATAATTTTTAGTTGTAGATGAACAGCATGCCTTTATTTTATTTGTTTATTTTTCTGTGGTACTGAGGATTGAACCCAGTGCCTCACATGTGCTAGGCAAGGGCTCCCCCACTGAGACAGCCCCAGCCCTTCATGAGTATTCTTAAGCTTCAAAAAGTAGAACTATCTCATTGTAATGTGTAAAACTCTACAGTTATCATATTTAGAACAGTCATATTTTTGGGAGATCTGAAGTCTGAGGCATATGCTAATCTAAGCATAAATAACAGTTACACCCTTACATGAACCTAAACAATGAAGGCGGCCCTATCTGTGTGTGGGGGGGGAGACAGACAGACAGACAGACAGACACACACACACACACGCACACACAAGAAGACAAAAAGAGCTAGGCAGTATGATGCCCTAACAAGAATCTTGGTTCTCATAGTTTCCATCTGTTTCATTTTCTGCATATCGTAAATGATATTCCATCTCACACCAATACTACCTGCAAAGTGCTCATTTGGTTTGTTTTAATGCAGCAAGGGTGAGGCCTATGTACTTAACAGCTGTTAACATCTGCAGTAAAGTGACTTTCAAGGAAACAGACAAGATCTCAGATTCTAGGTAACTGACCTAAAAAGAAATGCAAAGTAGCTCAGAAGCACCCTCTGTCAACTGTGGAAAGGAAACCATCACCCACAAAGGTGGCTTTCTAACAGGTTTGGGAAATACAACAAAAGCACCTTTTTTTATTAAGTATTTTATTTGCAACTAAGCTTGTTAACACTATATAATGACAATGTACAAAGAATAATGTTGCAGTTTTTGGTTAGATTTAAATCAAAGACATTAATTAATAAGGAATCTTCAAGTGTGAATATTCCAGAAATTTCTCTAAGCCAAAACAACTGTCTCTGAATATTACCTTAAGTGTGGAAGGTATTGGCATACATTTGAATTAAGCTCAATTTTTTTTTCAAAATAAGCCATAATTTAAAAAACTATTCTATATTCAAACTAAAACAATTTTAATAGAACTTTCCTTTCCAGAAACAATAATAAAGGAAACAAGGCATTTTGTAAAATGTGGTCCTGAACAAGTCACAGTAAAAATCAAATGTATACTTAACTCCACCTTCCTCAAAACAGAGGCTACTCTCTGCTCTGCAGTCTTGGAAATAAGATGAAGAACAGCCTGTAAGCAACTTCGGGTAGGAGGTTGCCCATTTGTACAAAGCTCAACCAACTGAACATGGACACCTCAGTGAGGGAACCTGATCAAGGAATCTGAATTGTGTTTTTAATAACTGATACAAAGGTGAAGTGGGTCTGGAATACATCAAGAGCAGCATTCTTTTTTTTTAAATTTTTATTTATTTTTTTAGTCATACACGACAGTAGAATGCATTTTGATATATAATACATACATGGAATGTACATACATCAATCATATTGTCTATTCTATTCTGCTGCCCTTCTTATCCTCCCTACTCCTCCCCTCCTCTTCCATCCTTTCTCTCTATCCAATCAAGAGCAGCATTCTTACTAACTATTATTTCAACTACAAAAAGTTCTAAGGAATTCAGCCTATAAAAGAATAAGGAACTGTGAATTTATCATTTACAAAAGTGAAATAACGACAGCAGTAAAGCTATCAACAGTTTAGTGACACTGAGGTCGTAAGACAGGAAGAGGTGCTCTGACTTCAGGGTGGCATCTTCCTGTACCTAACAGTTGTCACCTTCTGAAACCTTTTTGTTGTCAGTGGAAATCTTCAAGCCTAGGGTTCTAACGCTGAACCCCAGGAACCAGAACCACCCAGAGAGCCCTGGAGAGTCTTGGAGGCTGTCAGAGCTCACTGCACACAGCACTGTTCTCTTCACAAGCCCATGGCAGGTGGCACTGAGAACATACACGCTGATCTAGGGTTATGTGATAGTTTTCAGCATTAAATGTGACATACCAGCCCCATAACTAATAACGCAGACAGATCCAAAATCACCCGTTGTGCAGAAGTAGTCGGTGAAAACAGAACACCAGTGTGTCCTCTTTTATGTCTTGTGCTGCTTATGTCTTGTGCTGCTTGGGATAGAACCCAGGGCCTTGCACACTCTAGGTGACCAGTGAACTACACCTGTCCAGGCGCATCATCTCTTTTTCACTGGAGGCCTGTAGTGAAGATTCCCCAACAGCAGCCATCCCAAAACTCTAGCCCAAACCCTGTGTTAGTCAAAAGCACTGAACAGAGTATGTTATCACTACACAATTCACAAGTGACAAACAGTGGTATAGAGACCTTATCTCAGCTTAAGACACACAAAGTAGACAACTCAGAAACCTTAAATGATGGGGCTGGGAATTCATTGGGTGTAACGTGCCTGCCTAGCACACGTGAGGCCCTGTGTTTGATCCTTAGCACTTAAAAAAAACAAAGGGTGGGGGGTACGGAATATACTTTTCAATTTAATATTGAAATCAGTTTACCTTTCCACATAAGTAAATGATACTGGTGTCAGGATCATAGAAAGGCAGCAAAACTCCATTGCTAGTGTCCATTTCATGAAGAGCAATTGGTTCCTGCATGTTTTTCTGAAAATAAAACATATGTATATGTCTCTACATTTTTACAAGACAAATTTTATAGCTTATTAGACATTCTTCAATTAAGTGAGCCATTTTCCAAGAATAACATAAAGCTTGAACAATGCACATATAAATTTCATTCACATAAACACCAGGAGGGATCAAACCTCACTGAAAATTATATGAATTTGACAACATAAATGTGTGACTCCATGACAAAGATTGACAGCCCTTTTCTTCTGAGCCCATTTCTTTTTTTAAAAGTACTTTTTCCTTATTATAAAATAAATACATATACAAACTTTCAAAAAGTTAGAAGACACAGAGAACATTGTAACTGTCTCTAGTTCAGGGTTTCTTCCCACTTCCACTAGTTATGAATGCTTTCCCAAGAATGACTATTTTGATGATATAAATAAGTGTAGAATTGATTTCCTAAATCTAAAACATTGGATTCTTTGCACATTCTTTTTTAAAAATCTAGTCAGCATAAGGCTCCCTGGGAGTAACAAGAACGCATTTTTGAAATATATTCACTGCCTATCTCCAGTGAGGACAGGGACTTGACGTCCAACTGACAACAAGCAGGAGTTCAGAACACCACACTAAGAATCCTATATTCATACACTTAACAACCCAGAGCCCCAACAGAGAGAATGCTCTGTGAAGCACACGGGAGGTGAGGAGGGAACCTACAGGATTCCAGAGTGCCAGCTGCCGCTCACTCATGCGACTGAACCCAGTGGTAAAGACGTTGCCGTCAGCCAGGAAGATGGCTCTCATGGGCCTGGCTCCCTCGTGGGCCTTCTCCTTCTCCTGGGAGTGAGAGCAAGAGGCACATTATGCACATTCAAACTGCAAGAAGGAAAGGTGGGAAAACCACATATTGACCCTCCCTCACCCCACCTGTCACCCACACTCTCCTGATGTCGACCATGACCCCAGGTGAGGAATCAGAGCAGCACTAGTGACCAGTCAAAGTCCCCCAGCTAGCTAACAAGCAAGAGCTCCAGGATCTGACTCAAAAAACCTCACTCCTTCCACCACATCCTGCTGCCAACCCAGGTCCACACACTGCAGACACAGGACATAGAAGGACTCTGCCAATGCCTTGTTTTTCAAGACAGTTATAACTTGAAGGCTGGGTGTAGGCTCTGATTTCTACCAGCACCAGACATCAAGTCGAGTCTAATTAACCCCTTTGTTTCTACTTTCTTTCTTTCTTTTTTTTTTTTTTTAAAGAACCAGGGATTGAACCCAGGGGCATCTAACCACTGAGCCATATCCCCCAGACCTATTTATTTATTTATGTTTTGAGACAGGGTCTTGCTAAGTTGCTAAGGCTGGCCTGGAACTTGGGATCCTCCTGCCTCAGCCTCTCAAGCCACTGGGATTACAGGTGTTTACCACCACAGTGCCCTCATATCCACCCGAGGAAGATTCTGGATAGATAAAGGCTGCATGGAGATGGGAAGTCCCCAGTGCTCAGTAAGCACTAGCCACAACTGTCACAGTACCCTTCAGATGTAACACTACCAACACCAAACATATCTCAGGAAGGGCCTCAGAGCATGGGTGAAATCAGATGTTCTGTATTCAATATTTGGCACTGCAAGTCTGACTAAAGATCCAAATGTCTACCTTTTGTCAATTTTGCTCCCCAAACTAGGGAGTAGAATCTAACATACTGACCTTATGAGAACCTGCTGCAGTTCTGTAAGGCTCTGTAACAATCATTTCTGGAACAGGGAGCAGAATCAACTAATCAACCGTCAGCACTGAGCCCCAAGACCAGGCATGTAGTCTGGTTTAGCTGAGCCAGACCTGTGAGTGCTTAAGGACACTAGTGAACCAAGAAAAACTGACTCTTCATGAAAAATGGCCACCTAGGGAGAGAGGTGAGTTGAGTAAACGCTGCATGTGGACACACCTGGACACGCCTCTGCTCCCTCATCACTGTGTCTGCACTCCCAGGGCCACCAGCCAGTGGTTCTTCTGCCTTAAAAGCAAGGAGCCCACAGACACTGAAGTCCACAGGTCCTGGGTTTTGCCCTCACATACTCACAGCAACAAGCTCTTGTTTCCTGGGATCGATCACTCGCACTTTCTTGTCTTTGGAAGCTGTGCAGATCAGACTGCCGTTCCGGTTCCAGCTCACGTTATAGATCATGTCTGAATGCATATCGTCCAAGTTTATAAGGGCTTCCCCTGTCCCCACATTCCAGATGATGATGGCATTGTCACAGCCTGAAACAAGCAAAACCAAGCCCCTCAAAGATTAGAAACCTATACAGGAAAGCCAGAAGAATATAAGGAAATAAATGCACGGAAAGGCAGGTGAGGATAAGGGGCTCTACTTACTGGAAATCCAAGACCAAAAGTGACAAAGAAAAAAGGAGCATACAATAGAAATAAAATCATTAAAGGATCTTGTCCCAATCTCTTTTAAAGCCAGGCATCAGCTGGGCAGGTTGGCATAAGCCTGTAATCCCAGGCATCACAAGTTTGAGGTCAGCCTCAGCAACTTAGCAAAACCCTATCTCAAAACATTAAAAAGGGACTGGGAAGAGGCTGGGGTTGTAGCTCAGTGGTTGAGCACTTGCCTCGCATGCGTGAGGCACTGGGTTCAGTCCTCAGCACCACATAATAAATAAATTAATTAATAAATTAATTAATTAGTTAAAGCTATTGTGTCCATCTACAACTAAAAAAAAAAAATATTTTAAAGGTGGGGGGGCACTGAGGATGTAGCTCAGTGGTGAAATATCCCTGAACTCACTCTCCAGTGCTGTCGGCAAGGAAGAATACTTAGAACATCAGTTCAAAGATAAAACAGAGAAAGAACACCCTAAAGTGAATTCTTGCCAATAAAGCAATTTTAAAAGTGATTTAGAAAAGCTAGTCACTAACACCTATGATACCTAAGTTACCTAATTGGTAGAAGTAGGGAATTTAAGGGAAAAAATCTGCACAAAAGTATAAAAAGTTGGAGCTACATTCTGGGATGGAGAGCCGACACTCTCTCTGCCTTGCTTTCACAGGCAAACAGCCACTGCAGATGGATCTCATAGTCTTAAAATACGCAAAACGCTCCAGTCAAACCTTGCCCTTCACTTGTAAAAAGGAGAACCAGGAGCAGTCTGCTGATGACACCCTATTTGTGACCTCAATGAGAAGGGCAGCAGGATTTCTCTGATGGAATTCTACCTCCAGGACATTTTCCTTTTATCAGACAGAGGTTCTGTGTAAATCATTGGGAAAGTTCCCAAGTGCTTATTAAAAAAAACTATTGTTGAGAGCCACAGCCAAAGGGGCCCCAGAAAACTTCCAGCTGCCAGCAAACTTCCAGCTGCTGGCTGATGATTGGCTCACAGCGGCCCCAGCAACATCTAGCTGATTGGCTCCTCTGCGGTGATGCTCATTGGGCTGTTTCCCTACCCTTTCAGACCACGGAGCTGCTCATTGGGGGACTTTTTTGGCTCCGCCCACGTGACCCAGCCAATCGGCCTCAAGAGCAGGAGGATTGTGGGAGGTGGAGAGAAGCTTGTGTGGGAGAGAGAGGCTTGTGGAAAGCCGGTGGTGGCAGTTGAGGCTCTGAGGGTTTTTCCTGAGAGGCTGTTTTGTCTGGCGTGTGTGGTTCTAAAAATAAAGTTAGTTTCTTTTGACAAGTGGCTCCTGATTGTGCCCAGCCAGACTGCGGCATTTGGTGGCTCGCATGGGGAGCGACTGAGGGTAAGTGAAACTGCTCACCCCTGAGGGCAGGGTGAGAGGATGGGTAGCCATTTTAAGATTCCTCTTTTATTTTGCTTCACTTTTGTTTTAAGTTGCCTGTCCCTGGAGATGAGTGAGATGGAAGAAAAACCGCTCACATCTGAGGAAAAACTATTTACGTATGAGGAACAGATAGGGAGAAAGGACGGATGCCCATGTCAGGAGGATAGAAAGGCTATAATGACTTTTTGTTGTTCCCTTTTTATTTCATTCTGTCTCGGTTTTGTTTGGCGTCATCTTGTTGGGTTGTATTATAGTAGAAATATGGGATCAGAAATTAGTAAAAAACAAACTGAAAGAGTGTTAAGTAAATTGTTAGAGGAAGGAGGCATCCCAGTAAAATCAAGAGCAGTCAGGGCATACGTTGATACAATACAGAAATGTAGCCCATGGCTTTTTAAGGAGGAGTTGTTGAATATATCACAATGGAACCATCATGGTGAAGATTTAAAAAGAATAGAAAAGAAAAGCCCAGGGACTCTGCCAGTTGGCACATTGCCATTGTGGACGTTCATATCTTGTTTGCTTAGTCCAAAGCCTTCAGTTCAGACAATGGTAGAGGAAGGAGAAGACATAATGATTCAAGTAAAAGAGAAGGTCTCTCAAGTTAGTCAGACAGAGGAAAAGATTCAAGTAAAAGAGAAGGCCTCTCAAGCTAGTCAGACAGAGAAAGAAAGTGTAAAACAGAAAAAGCCATCAGGGGGAAAGTTACAACAGGAGACTGCTACTAACACCTTTCTATCACCAGAGGGTGTAAGTGTCCAACCAATAGCACCACCTCTACAGGAGACTGCTACTAACACCTTTCTATCACCAGAGGGCGTAAGTGTCCAACCAACAGCGCCACCTCCATATGCTGGGAGGCCCCCAACCCCCGCAGTTGATAGTTGGGATCCTGAGACAAGATCTCAAATATTAACATGCCCTGTATTTGAGGCAGGAGGGCAGCGATTTTACCAAGTTTTAAATTTCAAAACAGTGAAGCAGCTAAAAGAGGCTGTAACAACCTATGGTCCTCAAGCACCCTTCACTGTAAGCATGGTCGAATCCATTAACAACTTGAACATGACGCCAGCAGATTGGGCTAATATGTGTAAAGCTGTGCTAAATGGAGGACAATACCTATTATGGAAGGTTGCCAATGAGGAATTTTGCAAGGAGACGGCTAGGCGAAATGCAGCAGCTGGTTATCCTCAGAGAAATCTAGATATGTTGTTAGGAAAGGGACCTTATGAGGATCAGCAGCAACAAATTGCATATGATCCTGGCGTATACGCACAAATTGCTGCAGATGCAATTAAGGCATGGAAGACTTTACAAGGACATGGAGGTTTACAAGGTCAATTATTTAAGGTAATACAAGGAGCTAATGAACCTTATGCTGAATTTGTAGATAGGCTTATTCAAACAGCTACCAGAGTTTTTGGGAATACAGAACAAGCAATGCCATTACTAAAACACCTGGCTTATGAGCAAGCGAATCGTTGGTGCAGAGATATCATTAGACCATGGAAACATGAAGATTTAAACACATATATTAAATTATGTAGAGACATTAATGAACAAGAGCAAGTCGTGGCAGCTGCAGTAAAACAGGCTTTAGATGCCAGAGACATTAATGAACAAGGGCAAATTGTGGCAGCTGCAGTAAAACAGGCTTTAGATGCCAGGCCAAGAACATGCTACAATTGTGAACAAACAGGACATTTTAAAAGGAATTGCCCCATTGGAGGAGGGTTTAACAAAACTAGGTATCAAAGGAGTAGAATACCAGGTATTTGCTCTTGAAGATGCTGGTAGGATTTCCCCTTCTTCTACTGTTTTCTCTTTGCTTTCCACTATACAAAGTCTAATCTGGGACAGAAAAGATCCATTCTTTATAGGACATATCAGGGCACATACAGGATTGCCTGGAGCCCTTAGTTTGGGCAATGATTTAGCAGATAAAACTACACATGACATACATATTTTCTCTACACTAGAAGAAGCTATAAATTTTCATAAAAAGTTCCATGTCAATGCTAATACTTTACAAAAGCGTTTTAAAATAACTAAGGAACAAGCTAGACAAATAATAAAACAATGTCAAAATTGTGTGACCTTTTTACCACAAGTTAATCTTGGAGTCAATCCTAGAGGATTGATACCTAACCATATTTGGCAGATGGACGTCACACACTTGCCAGAATTTGGAAAATTAAAATATTTGCATGTTACAGTTAATACTTCTTCTGGATTTTTGATGGGCTCCCTTCATGCCGGAGAAAAAACTAAAGATGTTATAGCTCATTGCTTACAAAATTTTGCCACTGTGGGTGTTCCAAAACAGTTAAAAACAGATAATGCCCCTGGTTATACTTCTACCTCTTTTAAACAATTTTGCTCAACATTTGGCATTACTCATATAACAGGAATCCCATACAATCCACAGGGACAAGGCATAGTTGAAAGAGCTCATCAAACTATTAAAATGTACTTATTAAAGCAAAAAGAAGGAATTGGGAAGGGGTATATATTCCCCAAAGATAAACTTAAAATAACCCTTTTTACTCTAAACTTTTTAAATTTGGATTCATCAGGACTTAGTGCTGCGGAAAGGCATATGTGTCCAAAAAATGTACATAAGCCCAAGGTACTTTGGAAAGATATTCTAACAGGACAATGGAAAGGTCCTGACCCAGTAATTGTCTGGAGTCGGGGGTCTGTTTGTGTGTTTCCACAGGGAGAACAGCAGCCGGTTTGGATTCCAGAGAGATTAACCAAGGTCCTGACCCAGTGATTGTCTGGAGTCGGGGGTCTGTTTATGTGTTTCCACAGGGAGAACAGCAGCCGATTTGGATTCCAGAAAGATTAACTAAAGCGATTTCTACAGACCAAAAAGAAGATGATTTGGCTCAAATCCATAACAACTGATATCCAAAACTCCAGTTTGGCTATTCTTACATCTGCAACAGAACCAGGATGCTTTTTTCAATATCTATTTTATTATTGACCTTTGCCATATCATGAAGTTCTATTTTGTTTTTTGAGCTCATACAGACCTAGGTTAATGTTTTGCTGATCAGTTCTATTTTTTGACTATAGAGTTTTTAAACATTGCAATGGAGATTTCACCTGTAAAAAGTTATAAGGCCTTTACTATAATGTTATGTGTTGTATGTATTATATTATGTGTGCACACTTGTGTTTTGTGTTATATGTTTGAATGTACGTATGTCCATATATCATATAAGATGAGCGCTCATGATAAAATGGATCCAAATATTTTTTTTTTCACGTGATTTATATGGTTTAATTTAAATTGGGTAAACAACTGTTGAGGATTGTTTTAATATGTAAACAAAAAAGAAGGTTAACAGATCTGTTTGTTTACTTTCACCTTTCCTTTTCATTATATTTAATAATTCTCTTAAAGATAATGTAAATTGTTAAGAAAATTGTTTTCTTTTAGTGCCTTCTGTAATGTTACATAATTTTTTCTTTAGCCATTATTGCCAGAATTCCTATCTTCATCCCAGTGCTAGTGAAGTCAAAGATAAAACCAATCTACAGCTTCTACAATAGCCATCACTGAACTGCTTGCAGAACTTGCCTGGACACATTGTGAGCTCACCTGTATGCATTGTGAACTATCTGTTGGTACAGCGAATTGTGGTAGTGCTGGAGTATTTTTGCTGATGGTGTCACCGGTGGTACAATTTTTCAAAGGAGCCCTCAATTGGCTTAATGTCATGGCATTTTGCATCCTCCTCTACTAGTGATGGTCTAAAATTTGGGGGCCAACAGAGGTGAGGCAAAGAACCTCACCCCCCCACAGGTGCAAAGGCCTATCCACAAGTATGGCTGTATGCTGGACCGGTAGTCAGTGACGGGTATGATCCAATTGCAGTGGTACCAACCTAAGACAGGAGGCTGACGCCTAGAGGTCAGTTCATCCGATGACGGGTAAGGACCATATGTTGAATTGGACTGCCTAACAGGCACGGTCCCTAAGCCACATGCTTGTTGTTTAAAGAGAGAGGGGGAGATGTTGAGAGCCACAGCCAAAGGGGCCCCAGCAAACTTCCAGCTGCCAGCAAACTTCCAGCTGCTGGCTGATGATTGGCTCACAGCGGCCCCAGCAACATCTAGCTGATTGGCTCCTCGGCCCCAGCAACATCTAGCTGATTGGCTCCTCTGCGGTGATGCTCATTGGGCTGTTTCCCTGCCCTTTCAGACCTCGGAGCTGCTCATTGGGGGACTTTTTTGGCTCCGCCCACGTGACCCAGCCAATCGGCCTTAAGAGCAGGAGGATTGTGGGAGGTGGAGAGAAGCTTGTGTGGGAGAGAGAGGCTTGTGGAAAGCCGGTGGTGGCAGTTGAGGCTCTGAGGGTTTTTCCTGAGAGGCTGTTTTGTTTGGTGTGTGTGGTTCTAAAAATAAAGTTAGTTTCTTTTGACAAGTGGCTCCTGATTGTGCCCAGCCAGACTGCGGCAAACTATCCTACACAGAGTTTTTTTGTTGTGTTTTTGGTGGTGCTGGGGATTGAATGCAGGGCCTGAGCTATATCCCCAGCCCTGGTGTCTTTTATTGAAAAGTGGTTCTTGGTTTCAGAAGGTTCCTGGCATTCAATTTACTTAATTGATCAAAAATCATAAACATCCTCTGCCCCCAGTTAAAAACAAAACTGCTTCTCTCTTTTTTACTGGTAAGGGGAAAGATTTTTAAAAATTCTGCCACTAACATTAGTATTTTTTTTTTCAAGAAACCAGTATTATTAAAGTATAATTTACATATAATATAATGCACCTATTTAAGCATACTTAAGACTGTTTCAATCAGTATATATAATCATGCAGCTTCTACCACAATCAGGTTAGAACATTTCTATCCAAAAGCTCCCTAATGCCCTCTGTATTGCTTTTATGAAGAAAATTTTAAAATCTCAGATTCTGAGCAAAAGGAAAAAAATTTCTGCAAATCAAACTTGGGAAACACTCAAGTGAGAAACCAGTAAGCACACTAAGACCAAGACATGGGCGCTCTGCAGTGCTGTGCAACGGTGAGAAGTCAGACCATCATTGTTCAGGAATAGGGAGCTGACTAAACAGACAGACAATGGACTGTTGCGGAGAGTCGTTAAAAATATTATAGGGAGAACATTTAATGATACAGACAGGAGTGAGGTGTACCATTAACTCCAAAAAGAGTTCACGTGTGAAGTGTACAAAGCCATCTCTGTGTGTAAACTAATTTTTAAATATATATTATGCTTACATTTTTAAAATATCTTTATTTTATTTATTTATTTGTTTATTTATTCATTCTTATGTGGTGCTGAGGATCGAATCCAGGGCCTCGCACATGCTAGGCGAGCGCTCTTCCGTTGAGCCCAGCCCCATAAACTAACTTTTGTACGTGCACCTCACCATGGTTCACTACTGCTCTGCTTCAACACTGTACGCAGCACACACTCAAAACACACCTGTTGCTCCCTCCACCTCAGGGCTGTGTGAAGGACGGGTCAGCGGCGGGGAAGCACTGCTGAGCACCTACCTGCACTGAGGAGCACGTTGCGGGCTGTCGGATGCCAGGCCACGATGCCGACTCTCTTCGAGTGGCCTTCTAAAATCACCACAGGTTCAGTCAGGGAGAGGGTAAGTCCGTTTTCCGGGATCTGCCATACCTGTTGGAAAAGGAAGGAAGATGATCCATATGAAATTCATCACCTGTTATTATCATGTTTACTGTGACAATCTGATTTGAAGACTTGCTGTCTAACTGGAGCACTCGATGACATCTGGGTGAAAGGCCTTTCACATTTTGTTGTGAAATGACTGTGTACAGTTATTTAAAAAATGTAGTATGACATGTGAGATCAGAATATAAGTCCTATAAAACATTACCCCTCCTCTTTTATATAATATTAGGTGGGATTTAAAAATTTTTTTGTTAAGTTCTAACTCTCCAGTTAGAAACGTGTAAAAATATTTGAAATGAAATAGAAAATGGTAGAAGCATTCATAAAAGCATGGCAGGGATGAATAAAAACCTTCTACGTCTGTGCTTCTGAGGTAATGGTGCAGTTTTTAAAACATATTTTCTATTGGGAAAATGAAATAATTTATAACATATTCTACAGAAAGCAAATCTAGCCAAAGAAAAAGAAAACTGGACTTCATCAAAATTAAAAATCTGTTTCAAAAGATAAAGGAAGTAAAAAGACCACCCACAGAATAGGAGAAAATAATTTACAAATCATACAGCTGATAAGAGGCTTGTATCTAGAGTATAATAAGAACTCTTAAAACTTAACATAAAGACAAATAGTACAATTTAAAAATGGGCAAGAACCAAAAAGCCTCAAAATGTTTAATGTTTGAGGTTTCTAAAACTAATAAAAAATACTGAATTTTGAGGCAATGTGGCACTGGACCAGCCTCCATAATGAACATCAATTATTTAAAACTGCAAATGCTGTTATTAAATACTTGTTAGGAAAAAAATGGGCCACGAAACCAAATAGACATTTTAAAGTATAAGGGTCCAAAGGCACGTGAAAAGATGTTTGACATTATTAGCCACAGCGCAGTGCAAATCAAAGCCTCAGATATCACTTCATATGTACCCGCTAAGATGGCTAGAATAAAAAAAAGACATAACAAGTGTTGGCAAAAATGCAGAGAAACCAGAGCCTTCCTACACTGTTGGTGAAAATGTTAGATGGCACAGACACTTTGGGAAACAATCTGACAGTCCCTTGAATGATACACATGGAGTTATCCCCTGCCCCCTCCCTTTCCTTCCTACCCCACCTTCCCTATCTAGAATTCATCTAATCCTTCCATGCTCTCCCTCCCTACCCCCCGGCCCTTTTTATTTTTCATTTTGAGACAAGTTCTCACTGAGTTGCTTAGTGTCTTGCTAAGTTGCTGAGGCTGGCCTCAACTTGCCATCTTCCTGTCGCCTGAGTCCCACTGAGGCCCTGTAATTCTACTCCCACACACTACTATTCATAATAGCCAAAAAGTAGAAACATCCCAAGTGTCCATCCACTGCTAAATGGCCAAACAAAATGTGAGATACATACAATGGAAAACCAATTGGCCACAAATAAGAATAAGGCTCTGATAAATGCTACAACATGCATGAACCTGGAAAACATGCTAAGTGGAAGAATTCAGACACAGAAGGTCACATATGATAGCATTTCAGTATGTAAAATGTCTGGAAGAGCAAACCAGAAAGAGACAGGAAATAGATCAGTGGTGGCTTTGTGTTGGGGAAGACGAATGAGAGGTGATAACTGAAGATATAGGGCTTCTTTTTGAAAATATTCTAAAATTGTGGTGATTTTTATTTCCTAAAAATCATATATACAGTGGAAGACCACTTTAGGAAATTCCTGTGAATTTCCTAAAAATCATTGAATTGTACACTAAACTGGTGAGTTCTGCGTAAATAAGTAAGGCTGTTGTTGTTGCCGTTTTCGTCCTCTTGACTGGTGAAGACACACAGAAGATCCCCACATCTTACCTAGTGATGTGCCCAAGCAGCAGGGGGAGAAGGTAACAGGGAGAGTATCAAAGTGGAAGGAATAAGAGACTTTAACAATGGAGCACTGTGGTTTTAAAGGTTAAGAAGCGGAAATATCCTCTAAGATGGGAAGGACCCAGTTATAAGTGAGTTGAGTAGCATTGAAAATTCTTGAAGAACAGATTAAATTAAATATTTAAGTTTGTGAAAAGGCTGATGTTTAAAATAATTATCTTCTTATATATGAAGATTAAAATAAGTAATTCCTAAAAAAGATTTTAAGGAACTAGTTCATGAAAAACTCAGAACCTGCCAGTGAGAATCATACTCAACAGTGGAACAACTGAGAAACATAATTTCCCCTTGTTGGGATTTTTAAGAATGAGATGAAAAACTGTTAGTTTTCCATTGCTTAGTAGAGTGCAGATGTGGATTAGATGAATGTTTAAGGTTCAACTCTTTTCCGTTGTCCTGCAAAAGATGAGAACAAAGTTCGCCATCCCGAAGGGTGGGAAAAGATTCTAAGTTGAGTAATTCATTCATTATTACAGCTAAATTCTACTCAGTCTAAAATATAACCTCTTACGCAAATCATTGCAAAATAAACCTGCCTTCTGAGGGCCCAAGCCTAAATGTCACCTGATTGCTCCAGAACCCCCATCATTCAAATTTTACAGATGGCAGGTGTGAACAAACACAGAAAGCAAAAGCACAACCTGCCTCTCCCTCACCCAGACCCCAGCCTTTCCTGCTGGGCAGACTTTAAACTATGCTCCTCTCACTCCTGGAAGACTGTGGGCGACTAACTGCTTCCCCTTCAGCATGACATTTGCTTTCATCCTGATTTTTTTTTTTTCTTTTAACCAGGGGTGCTCAACCACTGAGCCACATCCCAAGCCCTTTTTGTATTTTATTAGACACTGGTCTCACTGAGTTGCTTAGGTCCTTGCTAAGTTGCTAAGGCTGTCTTTTAATTTGCGATCCTTTTGTCTCAGCCTCCCGAGCCAGTGGGATTCAGGGCATGCACAACTATGTCCAGCCTGACATGTTACTTTTATTCAAAGGTTTTATGAATAACCAAAGAGCTCCAAATTAAATTTGGCTACTCAAATTTTTGAATAAAATTTTGAACAGAACCAATAGAAAACAATGGCTATTGATCCAATCAAAGCATAAAGTCAACAGAGAAACAATTAGTAATTCAACAGGAAATGCATTTTTAAAGTCCAATTTGACCCCGGTTTTGAAAGAGTGGTAATACCACCCACCACCTGCAGATGGCAGCCTAATCATGGACTGCTAGGAATCTTTCAAAGACTGCAAAACCTCTTCTGCCCAGCTCTGACCATGAACTAAGTACTGCATTTTCTAACTCCCTAATGAGGGCTGAAGTGATAGGAGACTTTGGTTATTAGCATTTCCATCCTTAAGTATGAGGGCAGAAACAGAGATCCTAACAGGGCTTTCTTTATCTTTTCCTTTCTCTAGTTTCTCCTTTATCCACCTCTTGCTTGAACTGAGGAAATTTTGATGAAGCAAAACACATGAATTTTTAAATGAAGAAACAGTGTTCTTTTATTAACTCACTTTCAGTCAATTTAATGGTCCCTCCTGGATTTCTGCATTTAATACAGGCAATAACCCACTGTACTACCTTGACTACATGCTCATGCAACACAGCTACTGAGGAGCCACTACAATGCAGGTCTGGGCCCAGGTGACTGAATATGGGCCCTACTTTAAGGGGAGTTAATGATCTAGCAGAAAACAGAAGGGTTTCATTGGACTGAAAAGTAAAAACAGCAAATGCAAATGGTGTGACATAAAAGCTAGAGGACAGGTTCTGGAGCTGGGTGAGCCCTCGTTTAGGCATCGACCAGGACTGGGCGAACAACACAATTGTAACATCAGTCCCTGCACCTGCTAGGGCTGCTGTGGGGATTAAAGGGCCAATAAAGCCTTTGGAACAGAGCCCAGTGCCCCAATAATGCTTCCCAAATGGAGGAGAGCATAGAGCACTAGCTAAGATGGGCTCAAGCCAAACTGACAGTGAGAATCCATTCTGCCACATTCCAGGGTTGTGACCTTGGCGACACTCACCTAACCTTTCTTGCTTTGTTTCCTCATCTACAGAAAATGGGATAATAATGAACTTGGCCCTCAGTGGGGTGGTTGAAGGACTAAGTTGGTAACGTGTATTTAACACATGGAGAATAATGCCCGGCCTAAGGCAGACACCCAGGAAGCCCTAGCTATTGTCATTCCTGTATTAGTCACCAGGAGACCATACAGTGCAACCAAATCGTACAGTACAACCAAATTGTGCCGACTTTTGCATAAGCTGAGTGCTGAATGAAAATGCAAGTGTCACCAGTTAATTTCTTGCTAACCAAGCCTGGTCTACCCAGGGAGGTTCTCTGAGGAGACGACCCCTAAGAATGGAAAGGAGTTAAATAAAAGGAAATGAAAACAGAAAATCAAGTACCCAATTTCAAAATAAAACAGCACAGATGCATAAAACAATTTTCTAAAAAGTGTGTGCAGCATCTGAACAATGTCTCAAAGAGGCTGGCTGAGGGACGGCAGGGAAGAGGCACTGGGGTCAAAAGGTAATGCCACAGGCACAGGAACTGACAGCAGGAGGAGGAAGTGACTCGGACACTCTGGGAAACAAAATGGAAAGACAACAGAACCCTGGGGTCTGCTGGTAAATGCTGCTCTCCACCGGAGGCTGCGGGAAGGAGCTCTGAGTCTGTCCACACTGGGCACTCACATCCCCTGGCTGAGGCCACAAGCCCTACTCACAGGCCAGCTGTAACGTGGCTCTCTAATCTTTTTAGGGTGGCCTGCTCCTTTCTGGTAAGGGGGCCTACCAATTTGGACTGAAGGTCTGGCCTCCTGCAGCTCAGAGACAACAAAGATCAGAAATGACACTGGGTATAAGTTCAGTCTTTTCATAGGACACTGGCCTGGGTGTCAGAAGACCCCAGCTTCTATCAGACTGAGACACTGATTGGCCATGTTAGCATTAAAAGGGATTTCACTTCTGGGAGCCTCAATCTCCTTATTTGATACTGGGGACTGCACCAGCTATGCTTACGGAAGAGTTACTGGAGGGTCAAACGAGCTAAACATTTAGTGTAACACTAG